GACATGACTTTTTATGTGGTACTTCGTTTTTGTTTCAAAAAATATCTGTCATTTTCTGCTTGAAAAAATATAGTTTCTGAGATAAATTGAAAATCATTTTTGCTTTTTCTTAGTTTATATTTTTTGGATTTGGCATCCCAGCATGTTCGAAAGAGCTTCATTGTAGCCTATGACGTCTTCTTCGATTTGAAAGAGTATGTCAAGAGACTGGGCATGAGAGAATCCTTTCTTAAATTGATCTTCGTTATTATCAAATAAAGGAGTAGTTTTATAATTAGAACGCCATTTTTTTGAGAATGTAAGAATTGGGGTGTGGATGTGGGTATGTATGGAAAGAATCAGCACACACTCACACCCATACCAAGAGCCATACACACGTCATTTTTATATCATGAATAAAACATGATGAGGATACGTCGAATGGTATTTAAGCAAACATTCTCGCTGTCACAGTTTCGAAGATAATTGATAAAAAAAATGTGTCAAGAAAAGTAACAGTATTACATTTGAATAAGACGTTTCACTCAAAACAAGATATTTTTTGATTCAAACGACAAAAAAAATCTAGAAACTTTAAGTATGAGTAAATTTTTATAGGATCATACATTTTTATATTTGAATTTTGGACTGACTTGTTGGTCTAATTTTGCAAACGTAAGTCATATAAAAAATGACAAAATAGAAAATAAATGAAAATAAGAATCAAAATTGTAATTTTTATATGCCGAAAAGTTGTTCACTAATGTTGACTTTAATTTGAAGCAATCCCAGGGTTCTATAGCTTTAAATAATGATATAGTCTTAAGATATTTTCAATGTAAGGAATAAATATCGCCTATCCATAAGTTAATTAATTTTTGTTGAAAATTGTAGACTGGAAAACGAACCTTGCTAAGCCCCAAATGAGAGCTAAGAGTAGATTTCTCTATGTAAAAAAAGAACGTATTATAACAATCGATTCTAGAAGAACAGCATAATATGTTAAAAAATAACTTCTAATGAGCATGTGATTTTGCAGATAAAACTATGAAAAACAAAAAGAAAAACAATAGAGAAATTTCAGTTGTGTAGTCTGACGAAGTTTCTTTTGTCTAGAATGTTCTTTAACATACATTTAACGTACATATAGAAAAACACATTGATAAGAAAACTAATGAAATAGTTTCAACTTCTAATATTGTTTTTGTTTTTAATTTAAGAATACATGTAAAACTATGAACTTTTTTTATTCTTTTTCTTGATCTATGAAGAAAATTGCAAGTTGGTTTGAACTTAGAAAAAAAAGCAATTTCGTAAATAATTGAATGTTCTCTCATGAAGTTGCTATAATATCTAATAATATATGTAAAGAAAAAGTTCTATTAAAAACAAATATGAATATAATAAAGATTTTTTTTTTCTGTTTTAATTAGTTTATTTCTATTATTTCATGACTCTCTGTCTCGCGCTATGTCTATTAGTCGGTAAAAGGATGTGAGTATTCCAATGTTTTCTATATATGTGCATTTTCATAATTACATTTTTCATAGAACTCAAAAAAAAAATTCATTATTTGTAATAGAATGATTATCGTGATCTATTTCTGTTTCCAAGCAAAACAAAAAGAACTTTATTTATTTGTATTAATGATTTATTAATTACGTACGATGACTTACATTTCAACTCTACTAAAATCTTTTTTTGAAGTCCACTAATGCAAAGTGTAAGATATAAAGATAGTCGAAAAGAAAAACAAAAAAAGAAAAACATATATCAATAGTTATTCTATGATAAATTAAATAATAAAGAAAACCAAAACGAAAACACCTCAGTGTCAAAATAAGAAATCTGAAACAAGTCAAAATTTGGAACGATGTTGATTTTGCAAAAAATTCAAATGCACTTTTCACTTTTTTCTCCCTTATTTTATCCTCTCTCTCCTTTCTATCTCGATTTCAGTCCATCCGTTACGTGGGAGTTCTATTGATATTCATCCGAACGCTCGATGGCAACAAAATGGTATCACTGTAGCTGGAGGAAATCGACAAGGCAATGAAATCAATCAACTCTCAAACCCATCGGGTTTGTATGCTGATGATGATCAAACAATCTATGTTGCTGATCGAGCGAATCACCGTATTGTGGAATGGAAACGAGGTACAACGAGTGGCCAAGTGGTTGCCGGTGGAAATGGACCAGGAAGTGGAGATCATCAATTGGATAACCCATATGATGTGATTATCGACAAAGAGAGAGATAGTCTCATCATCTGCGATTATGGGAATCAAAGAGTGGTTCGATGGCCTCGTCGAAATGGGACAAGTGGAGAAACAATCATCTCCAACATCGCTTGTATGGGTTTGACAATGGACGAGAATGGATCTCTCTATGTCACTGACTATGGAAAACATGAAGTGAGACGATATCGAAAAGGAGAATCTCAAGGAACAGTGGTTGCAGGTGGCAATGGAAGTGGAAATCGTCTCGATCAACTCTCTTCCCCAACATACGTATTCGTCGATCGAGATCATTCAGTGTACGTATCTGATAGGGACAATCATCGTGTGATGAAATGGATGGAAGGTGCAAAACAAGGCATTGTCGTGGCTGGTGGTCAAGGATATGGAAATAATCTTACACAATTGTCATCTCCTTATGGAGTCGTTGTCGATCAATTGGGCACTGTCTATGTGACTGATTTTGGGAATGATCGAATCATGCGTTGGCCTAAAGGAGCCACACAAGGAAGTGTCATTGTTGGTGGAAACGGTAGTGGAGAACAATCGAACCAACTCAATATGCCCATCGGTTTGTCATTCGATCGACACGGTAATCTCTATGTTGTCGATTATGGAAATCATCGAGTACAAAAATTCGAACTTCAATCCAATCCGAAGTAAACCCAAAAACACAGAAAATAACACTCTAAAAAACTTTCATAAATAACTCACCCAATTAATAAAATTACTTAATTAACGAAAGTAAACATTAATTAACACTATATACTAATTATAGTACAACTAATAAATCAAAAACAACTTCCATTCGATGTAAAAACACACATTCTATAATAGGAAACCTTCAACACACATAAAACAGACACAAAAAACACCACAAACACCTCGCTCACTTTCCTCAAAACGGAAACCTTGAATTTTCCCCCACGATTCCAAGGATTCCATGAGAGGAAACAAAGTCTTGCATCTCGAATATTGTAGATCATGATGAATTCTATCAGATTCGACGGATTCCAAAAGATCGTGAACTGGGAACCCATGGAACTGTGGACGTTCTGAAAGTCGCTATGGTCTCCGTAGAACTTTCACACGATTCCCGCCGATTCCAAGAATTCCTTGATGCAAAACAAACTCTGGCATTTCGAGTTTATTAGATCATGATGAATTCGATCAGATCCCATGGATTCCAAAAGATCCTGAAGTGGGAACCCATGGAGCTGTGGATCTCCTAAAAACCTCTGTGCTCACCATTGGACTTTCAGAGAAGACCAACGATTCAATGATGGAAAAAACTGTCGGGTATTTCGAGTATTGTAGATCGTGATGAATTCTATCGGATTCGAAGGATTCCGAAGGATGGTGCTTTGGGAATCCATGTTGTCTCCGGACCTTCTGAAAACCTCTATGGTCACGATCGGACTTTCAGAGGATATTAAGAATTCCAAGGATTCCATGATATAAAAGAATGTCTCGTATTTCGAATATTGTGGATGATGTTGAATTCTATGAGATTCCATAGATGCTACAGTATTGGGAAGTGGGAATTGGTGCAACTCTGCACCTCCTTGAGACTTATTTTGGGCACTACAGGAGTTTCAGAGGATATCACCGATGCCAAAGTTTCCATGATATAAAACAAGTAACGTTCATCGACATTGAATGCGGATTCGTTTGGCCCTAGGGTGAGGAATGATGACAAGTATGTCCTTATATTCCCTTCACTGAAAGATTAGGGTCTAGAAACCGAAATTCACCTGTGTCTGTCTGTGTGTCCGTCTGTCTGTGGGTAACGCGGTCAAAATGGCCATTTTTTTGGCACATGTGACCATTTTTTGGCACAAGTGACCATTTTTTGGCACAAGCGGCCATTTTTTTACTAAAATTAACTAGGTAACTATGGTACAAACGACCACGTAGCTATGGCACAGGTGACCATTTTTTGGCACAAACGACCATTTTTTTGGCGCAAATGACCATTTTTTTGGCACAAGTGACCATTTTTTGGCACAAACGGCCATTTTTTTCTAAAATGAACTAGGTAACTATGGCACAAACTGCCATTTTTTTGGTACAAACGACCACGTAACTGTGGCACAGGTGACCATATAGCAACCAAGTACAAACAACTATTCCGGTAACTATGGCACAAATGACCATCTAAAGACTGATGTAAATGAACCCATAATAATCATCGGTAAAATGTCAATGAAATAACTATAATTCGGGTAGTGGTGTAAAACGGCTCACAAAAGCATTTAATTAGTGAGAGTCAGACCAAATGAGCAGTATGGATTTAAAGAAATCGTTTAAATTGTTCATTATTGTAGGATTGATTGTGCAATGTTGTATCAATGAATATCTAATTTATTAATAGTTTAGAATTAATGTGCGAATTGAAGCATAAAATATTGATTAATAAAACTCAAATTTTATGAATAATATAATTCATATTTTTGTACGCACAAATAGCGCCAATATAATTACAGAAAAAATCGTATTCTTGTCTAATCTTTTTGGGCGCTATTTATATTTATAAAAGCAAAAAAAAATAAAACAAAAACGACAAAAAAAATTAAATTTGTAAAATGCATTATCTTTACTTAGAGTGAGAATTCTCCAAATTAAGTTTTCTGCTCGCCTAAGAGATACTGGTCATATTATCAATTTTGCGTATTGCTTTTTTAATGTAGCTTTTTATGCTGTTACATCCGTACATGTATTCTATCAGTCTAGGGCTAAGTGAATCTCTTGACGATGAACGTTACTTGTTTGTAAATCAAAATGAACTGTGTATAGTGATGTGTTTAGGAGAGATTATTAATCTTTGTGATACATTGTATATTATATACTATATATATATACGACAGAGGTGGAATCGGTTCCGTTTTTAACCGACCGACGATAACCGAAATCGATTCGATTGGAGATTTTGAAAAGCTTCGGTCGGTTACGTTCGGGTAGGTTAGAGATGTTTTCGGTTACGGTCGGTTCGGTTTGAAATTTTGAAATATTCGGTCGGTTATATTCGGTTCGGTTAGAGACAATGGACATAATCGTTTCATTTGAGTTCAATGGACGTTTTCAGCGAAAGATAAGAAGAAAAAATAATTTAACCGTACAACAATTAGCTGTTGCTCGTAACATGGATTATCTCACATTTTTTTTAAAATTTGTCCTGAGAGGTAAGGAAGTTACAATACAGTAAGAAGATCCTATAAATAAGCCTAATTCTTTGCTTTCTCTAAATGTTCATTATTGGTAATTGCTATTGCTTGATTTGATGTTGCTAATTTACAAAGCACTAATACCCTAAATAACAAAAGCTATACTTCGCTTTCTCTAAACTAAGTTCGATTACGAAATTTTTGAGATTCGGTCGGTTACGGTCGGTTCGATTAGAAATTTTTAAATATTCAATCGATGACGTTCGGTTCGGTTAGAGATTTTTTCGGTTAGAAATTTTAAAAAATTCGGTCGGTTACAGTTGGTTCTATTAGAGAGTTTTTCGGTTACGGCCGGTTCGGTTTGGCAAAAATGCGAACCGATCCCATCTCTGATATACAAATAGTTCAGATAAAATAGTGAAAGATGCTAATGTATATGATGAAGTTTATGCTTTAGTTAATTTTAACGAGTAAAAATTGTGATCTATGCCAAAGTAATGGCCATTTCTAATACGGGCATGGCCAATTGTGACACAGACATGCTCATTTGAGCCATAAGAATTGTCAACTGTGCCATAAAAACGGTTGATTGTGGCGTGGAAATGCTGATTTGAGCCATAGAAACGGTCATCTGTCTAATGAAAACGGCCAATTGTGTCAAATAAATGGTCGCCTGTACCACCAAAATAGTACTTTTGTACCATGAAAATGGTCAGTTGTACCACAAAAATGGTCATTTGTACCAAGTGTTACAGACAGACAGACAGACAGGCACAGGTGAATTTCGATTTCTAGACCCTAGCCTTTCAGTCTAGGAAACAATGTCTGGTATTGCGAATATTGTAGATCATGATGAATTCTATCAGATTCCATGGATTTCAAAAGATCCCGAAGTGGGAACCCATGCAACGCTGGACCTCTTTGAAACTCCTTTTGGGCACGATAGGACTTTGAGAGGATACCAAAGATTCTATGATATAAAAATATGTCTGGTATTTCGAATAGTGTAGATCATGATGAATTCTATCAGATTCGTAGAAGTCTAGAAGCTCCTGAAGTGGAAACCCATGCTAACCTAGACCTTCATAAGACCCCTATGGTCACCATAGGGCTTTTGGAGAATAGGAAAGAGTCCATGGAGCCGATGGAATGAAGCAACGTCTGACATGCGGAATATTGTAGATTATTATGAATTTTAGCAGATTCCAAGGATTGCAAAAGATGCTGAAGATAGAAACATTGTAAATTGAGGTATCCTATTAAATTTCTTTGGTGACTATGAAGGTGTTGGAGGATACCACATATGCGAATCGTGCGATGACAGGAAAGAATATAGTGTAAGGGGAATATTATGGGTCATGATGGATTGTATCAGATTGCTGGGATTCCAAAGGAATTTGAAGTGACAAGCTGTTCAAATTGTGATATCCTGGCAGCGGCTGTTGTTAGTATAGGGCTTTGATAGCTTATGAAAGATTGTAAGTGATCAAGAAATATATGGTATTCAGAGCCTTGTGGTTCATGATGGATTGTATATGATTCCAAGGATGCTAAATGCGCTGGAAGTGTGAAACAGCACAGAAGAGTATGTTCTGAAAACCTCCGTTGTGTACACAATGGTTCTCAGCAGCAACAAAGGTCTCCATGGATTTCATGGCAGTAGAAATTTGTCGGTCTGAGAATGTTGCAGCCCATGAGGGAATGTATCACTTTATAAGATGTCCAGAACATCGAGGAGCGAAACGACATGGAAATTGCTAGCCGTCGAATATCCGGCTATAGGGTAAGGCAGTATTATAGATATCGAAGGGCTCCGAGGATCGGATGGCTTTGGGTAGTGGCTTTTATGAAGAATGGTCAGGTTCATTTTGGATTCTATGATATGTCAAGTACTCGAGGCAGAGATGGAAATATTCTTATTTTCTTCATAGGTTGCTGGCACTTGACAACCTATAAAGCTTTTTGTGATCGTGTGCCTGTCTTTGATTTTCATCGGTCCGGTCTGTCTGCTTGATGAGTTGGGTCTTTTCTTTTTGTGTACCAATAATTGGATAATATTTTAGTGGAAATAGAAAACTGTCTTTGTAAGAGGAGAGAAAAGTGTTTTAATATCAAAATAACATGACGAAATGAAACATCTATTCATTCATTGAGGTATATCAGTATTGAGTGGAAACAAGATAGAAGCTTTCAACGTTTAGAAATAGTTGCTTTTCAATCTAAATCATCTTACGTAATTTTATGAAGAAATGGACGATGACTTTTCAGTGGGAACGAATAAGAAACTGTAAGTATGTAATACTACCTAAATGTTTGATGTAAAACTTTTGGAACAACCATTTAACAAGTGTGATCCTTAATCTACCGAAACGTATAAATAAACTAAATAAATGAATGGACAATGAACAATTGAATGATAATTTATTGTTGCTCCTGATTGTGGTGAGTTAAACTGATTCAAAAGTCATTTCTTACATTCCAGAGCAAAAATTCTCGATA